CAGGAATGTTTGATTCAAGTGGGAGCTATGACCGACAAAGCAATTTACAAAGTGAAGAAGTTTAATTAATCAAATTTTGCATTCAAGAGGATGCATATGAAGGATTTATCTTATTAGAAAAAATTATATTTGCCACTACAAAAGAAGCCCGAATCAATGACTATGGAGGAATGAAAAGTGCTAGATCGAATGACCCAATGTTTGATCCATTTGTCACTTTACTAATATGTTGCGTTCAATATAGTGAAGGAGAAAACCACAGTGGACCTCATGGCAAAACTGACAAAAATGTACAAAAAACCTTCTGTTTCTAATAAGGTTTTCTGATAAAGATGTTATTCAACATGAAGATGGTGGAAGACACTCAAAGTGAAAAAATATATGAATAATTTCAACACTATAAAGAAAGGTATGCAGTCTTATTATAGATAGAGATTGTTGTGAAAATATGGTATCTATACAAGTGATCAACGAATTGAACCTAACCACATAGTAGCCCACCCCACTATCTTGTTTAAAACAGGGAATAAAATCATAGTTTACAAGAGATGCCTCATGAAGTTTTATATTGAAGACAATTTCTAGAAGCACATATGGTGTGACGTGGTATGTATGGATGAGTGTCAAGTCTTATTTGACCATCCTTTGCAGTTTGTAGTTACACATATCATGATGGCTATAAAAGCTCAACCTTTGATTAAAGAGGGGATTTGCATTATAATCTTACCTTCGAAAGAGTTTGATATAATGAGTGTTCATATAGAGTCTGAGGAAGAGGTGAATGAAATATCTTTTTGTAGGCATTGAGAGAAGCATTAATAGTACTAGCATTGGTTGTCCAATAAGATGATGAGTTCGAGGAATTGGTACTCGACACAGGTCAATTCTCATTGAGAGTGGTCCAACATGTCTTCGTTTCAAATGAAGATGACGACTCTCTAAGCTATATTTGGAAGAGTTTATGGAATAAGTTAAAAACTAAATTTTAGTTTAAATCACCAGCCCATCGACGGATATATTCGCTGACAGAAGTGGTTAACCACAATTTTGAAAATCTTCTTAGATGTTTTCAAGTTTTCATGATATCGAAGAATCAGAGATCCCTCGATACCACTGAATCAAATGTAACACAATTGCAAAAATATTAAATATTTTCCTTTTGAGTGGTTATTTTCTATTAGTAACCTATTCATGTGCTTTTTTTTTTATTTGGAGGACTTTTTGATTTATTTTGAGTATTTTAAAATTTATAGCCTCTGATTTCTACCTTAAGTGGTGATGTATTTTCTTTCTTTTGGAAGTTGTGTGTTTATAAAGTGCAGGAATAAATGACAAACTTCCTCTCTGTTTGTACCATGCTATTTCATTCATATGCATCGTCATTTTTAGCTGGGACAATCGTTGAATGTTGATTATCCCCCTCCAAACACCATCAACTTTCCATATTCTCATTCACTTGCTATTCCACAATCACTTCCCTCTAACTATGTTTCCCAAACATTTTATAGGAGCCATAGAATGATATCACCAAAATTTTCAAGAAAAATATTAATGCAAATACATTTGAATAATATATTTTTGAACTAATAAGTTTCACAAAAAAAACAAAAAATCAAACGTTTCAAACTACTAAACTTGCCAAAAAAAAATCAAACGAAATAACTATAAATTTTATTAAATTAATTGATAAACTAAGGCCATCGTCTTCATTACAATGCCGTTCATTACAGCATGCCTCTTCATATACACCAAATGTAACTAAACTTGCCAAAATAAATTCATTCAAATTTTAAAACATAATATGCCCCACCTTTACACCAATTTCTCATTGGAATCCTGTAAATCACTCATATAATTAAATAAAACATGTACATCCAATTGGAAATTAGTAGAGAAAAAAATTAGCACGTGATGTATCTTGCAGAGTTCATATAATATGGGTTAGGAGCGAGTATAGATTCATTTTATCTAAGGTGAAGGATATAGCTCAGACGAACTAGTTTAGCCAGACTGAACGACAGGTCACGAGTGAATTTAAGCATAGGGTTAAGCTACTGGGAGGGGAAATTAGACCACATTGCAGAGAAGAGATGAGAGTGAAGTCGGGCATATGATGAGCAAATTAGGGGAAAGAGAATTTCTTTTACTATGAGGGAGAGGCAACAATTTGAGCGCAAGATAAAGTACCTTAAGGAAAATGATGAGTAATTAGGAGGGCTGTAAATGAACCGAGCTTAAGCAAGGTCAGGTTTGGCTCGTGTTCAGCTTATTCAAAATTGTTTGTGTTAGAAATCTGCTTGTGAACAGTGTGTTCGTGTTCGTCTCGATTTAAATATTCTTGTTCGTATTTGGCTCGAAATTGACACGTTAAAACTAATTGAATAAAATAGATGTATAGTGTTGGATTCGAACCTAGCCCAAATATATGTAAAAGAAGATACATAAGCTTATTACCACACGAGCTATTATGATTTAAACATAAATATAAATATATATAATATATTATTATATAAATAATAGATATAATATATTATTAAATAAATAATTATATGATTTTTTTATTTCGAACTAAAATGAGTCGAGCGTGAGCGAACAAAAAGCTATTAGTGTTCGACTCATTTATAATTTTAACTTAAAAAATTTTTTCATGACCTTCTCGTTTACTTAACCAAGGAACAATATGCTTTTTCTTGAGAGCCCTAGGTTAAACAATATGGTTTGGTCGCTAATATATAAATGTACAAGTTTGAGGTACCTTGTGTGTAAAACTCCCTTTCAGTAATTATAAAATTTCAACAACCCAGTTTTAGTCACATACCCACGCACAATCTTCAATCTTTAAAGAGACCAACCTTTGTCACAAGATCCGGAGATTATCTTCAACCGCATCACCAATCGCGCTTCTTCCTGTTTCGATTTTCCCCGAAGCTTCCGATCGCGATACTTATGGCTTCAGCTTATAATGCACCGATCTGCTTATCGTGCAACTCTCGCATGGCGAACGAACCTTCGTTCTTCATTTCTCATCAACGTATCCCGACCCACTTCCCCAATCCCTTTCTCAATGGTTTACGATGCCGGGCTCTATCCCATCTGACCGGATCATTTCTTTCCATTGAGGAGAAGATGAGGAGAAATGAGCGGGGTTCAATATGCAGGAAATTATCTTGCTCGCTCGCAAATGGACGTAAGTTGGCCACTAGGAAACGCTGTGATTGCTCTGAATCAGAGCCTTGTTAAAGATTTGGGGGGCTTGTTCTCTGATGATGTTCTAATGTTAGCTGCTTTTCTGGATTACTTTTTCGTTCCATTGATTGTGTTCTCATGATCTTAGTTTTTTTAATCTGCTTAGCAATTCGTTTATCCAATTGGTTTTGAATTGAATCGTCCCCAGAAAAGGATCTGGGAGGTTGTATTTATGCTTGTATTTCTTTCAAACTTTGCTTGCATTTTGAATACAGCCTAGTTTTCATGAGTTAAAAGAAACTTGCTGACCCTGCTGCCAAGTTGGTTCCACTTCACTCTGAAGGCGTTTAGGACAACTAAGGAGTTAAAATTTAAATTAATTAAATCTTGAATCTTAAAGCATATTTTTAGAAATAAAAACACAATTTTTCTATCTATTTACATTATTACATTGATTCATGGCAGAAACATAACTGGTTTATTTTCTGTGAAGTGTCTAATCTTGATTTTTTTTATTTAAGACAAGTCATAAGTCAAACTCTAAATTACTTTACCAGTTATACTTGTTTAAGGCATCCATGGAAAGTGCATAAAGCTACCATTTATATGATTTTCTAAGGGGTTGATATGCATCTTTACCCCTGCATTTTACAAAATATATTAGATCTTATCTTAATGATAGAAAAGGCACATACATCTAAAATCCTAGAAATAGTTGCTTTTTCTATTAATTTTGCACGTCTTCAGGCTCATGCATTATTATTAGTGCTAGGTCACAAAATTAATATTGGTTGTTGACAATAACTAATCCTCATGCATACAGATCTCTTAAAAAAGTAAAAAAGATTGCCGTAAACATATTATAATAAGCTGGGTCTCAATGATACTTCAATATTTGATTGCCTTGCAGAATTAAATTTCATATCCATATAATACCAACGTGGAGATTGTGGTCTTAACTATGCTTAACAAAATTTGCTTGGTGAATGTCATTTCATATGGAATCATGAGAAATTTTGATAAATAGTAGGTAAGTTATGACCATTTTGATAGATTGTATTAGTGTTGTGAAACCTGATCCACAACAGTAGCACAAGAAACCATTGCCCCTATTGGAGGTGCCCAAGCGCTCCAGACCAGAGGAATAGGCACCCGTGCGCACCAAAGCGGTGCCTCAGTGCAGGGGGACCTAAGCCCATTTAGGCGCCCCCGTGTCAGGCTTCAGAGGGGACGGATCCCCAATTCCCATTTGGAGCGCGGCAACACCACAATTTGGTGAGTTCAACCAGAGCGAATGAAAAGACAGCACCCGAGGGCAGTGTTATGTTGCCAAAAGTGATTTGTATGCAGCTTGGGATTTAAGCCCTTGTTTCATGAGGGATTATACTCTCCCTCGCGTGGTGTATTTTTTGACGTTGCGTAATAGGTGCAGAGTGACGTCCATGTCGAGAGGGCGAATTTTGGGGAGTGCTTTCTCTTGTGAGATCAAGAGAAGAATGAACATAAATTGTTTTAATATTTAGAGGTGTAGAGAGTGGATATGAGTGGTGTAATTCTGTACTATTCTCCTTTTATTATGAAATTTTTGGTGTGGTGTGACTTAGTAATTTTTTCTTGTTCTCGGGTCTTTCTACGTTACATCTTAATGCACTTTTTTTGGGATTTCTATTTGTGCGCTTCTGTTCATTGTATTGTTTTTGATCTCTCGAATTTGTGTGTTTTTTCGCGGTGCAATTTTTTTTGTGAATTGATCAAAATCAAAATTTTCATCCCAATAAGTGATATTAGATCGAGATTTTTCTGAAGCCTTTTGATTTAAGTGAGAGCAATGATAGATGGAGTGAGGTAAAAGGTAGAGAAGTTCAATGGTTCAAACATTGCATTCTAGAAAATGCAAGTGGAAGATTTGTCGCATTAAAATATTGGTCTTTAGATGGAATTCAAAACGTCTGAATCGATGACTCTGGAAGATAGGAAAGTGCTTGATTGAACAACCCTAGGTTTGCTCTGTCTTTCACTTTCCTCAGATATTGCTTTCAACATAGTGAATGAGAAAATTACTATAAATCTCATGACAACACTGATAAAGATGTATGAGAAATATTCTGCTTCAAATAAGTTTTTTTTGATGAATAAATTATTCAACATGAAGAAGTTGTAAGAGAGTTTAGTTGCTAAACATTTGAATAATTTCAACACTATGACAAACCAGTTGCGCTATGTGGGTATTAAGTTTGATTACGAGGTTAGGGTACGGTTAATTCTATCTTCACTGCCAGATAACTGGGATGGGTAGGTCACGACAGTGAGCAACTTCAGGTGATATGAAGTTAAACTTTGATGACATTGTGAGGTTTATGCTGAATAAAGAAATTCGCGTGAAGACAACAACCAATGAATCTTCAATTTCAACGTTAAATTTTAAGAACAAATGATTGATTCTGGGAAGAAATACAGGCAGAAATAGATTAAGTCTAAAAGAGGAAAGTTCAGGTTAGGGAAAAAAAAGACAACTGAATATTGGAATTGTAGAAAGAAATGTCATTTCAAGAAGGTCTGCAAAGTTCTAAGAAAGGCTAGTGGTAGAGGCTAAGACATGAACCTCTATACAAATAACTCCACAAGCGAAATCCACGGTGACTTCCTAGTTTTATTCTTAGTCAGTATCGGACCATTTATAGTAGAGTCATGTGCACTTTTCATGTATGCCCCAACAAATAAGTGTTTAAAAACTACACTCTGAGTGATTTAGGGAGTATGTATTTAGGAGATAAAAAGTCTTACAGTGTTATAAGAAAGAGTGATGTTTATATGCTGTCCAATGGAACTGTATGCAAGCAAAGTTAAGTTAGACATGTTCCATGTTTGAAGAGAAATTTAATTTCAGTTAGTCAACTTGCAAAGCCTGTGTATGTGACTATTCTCACATCTGATTCGTGGAAGGTAACTAGAGGGGCAATGGTGACGACTTGAGGTAACATTGAAGATTGAAGCACTTTTTACCTGATCAATGAAATGACAAAATTCGTTGTTGTGACCAAAATCAAAGTTGATGCAGGTCTTTAGCACCACAAACTTGTTCATATAAGCAAGAAATGTATGAAGTTCTTACTTTCTAAGAATAATCTTGAAATTTTGAAGTTTATAGGGTTAGAGTTTCTTAAAGACTATCACAAACATAAGAAAATTTCTTTCTTCAAATGTGGGTCAATGATAAAGTTCCAAAAGTTGCAGTTAGTGCATACTGACGTATGAGGTCATACTCCAGTTCAGTCCATTAGAGGTTCCCACTATTTTTTCATTTTCATTAATGATCATACCAGAAAGATATATTTACTTTTTAAAGTATAAATCTGATTTATTTGGCGTGTTTAATAAAACAAAAGACCATAGTAGAGAATGAGACAGACTTGAGGTTGAAGTTTCTTAAATCAGATAATGGTGTTGAGTAACATGATCATAGTACCATGAGTTACTATGCATCAGAGGGGATCAGTCATTAGTTCACTGTTTTAAGGATACCACAATAGAATGGTGTGGCTGAGTGCATGAATAAAAGCATCACAAAACGTACTAGGAGTATGAGAATGCATGTAGACTTGCCAAAGCAATTCTAGGCAGAAGCAGTGAACATTGTTGTTTATTTGATTAATCATGGTCCGTCAGTATCTTTGAATCAATGTTTATCTGAAGAAGTCTGGAGTGACAAAGAGGTAAATATGTCACCTGAAGATATTTGGTTATTCTATATATGTTCATATTGATGCAAGCTTCGGGAGTAAACTTGATTCAAAATCTGTCAGGCGCACCTTCATTATGTATAACTCAGATGAATTTGAATACAAACTATAAGATTATCAAAATCAGAATTCATCAGGAGCAGGGATGTTACTTTCAATGAAATAATGATATACAAGAACATGAGTATAACTCAGAATTGCCTATCAGTTAGATCTGAAAGTCCACATATGTTGAGATGGAAGAAAATGATGATCAGGAAGATGAAGAAAGGAGAAGTGCTCAATTTGATGAAGCAAAAGAAGTTCCTTAGTCACTTGCTATAAAAGTCAGAAGGTCCAGCGGTATCACGGGTCTGACACATATGTATTCTTCTTTGTCTTATTTGTCGCTAACAGATATTGGTGGACCAGAGTGCTACAAAGATGCCACTCAAATTAAAAATTCAAGAGAGTGGGAGGTTACTCTTGATAACGAGATATAGTCACTAACGCCAAACCACACTTAGGATTTGACAGAATTACTAGATAGCAAAGAACATTGCATAACAAGTGAGTTTGACAGGTTGAAAAAGGAGTCAGATGATTGCAGACTCTACGTGACGAGACTTGTTGTGAAGTGTTCTCAGCAGAAGGAAAGAGTTGACTATATTGAGATATTTTCTCCTATAGTGAAGTGATAATTATCAAAATTGTAGTGAGCTTAATAGCAAAGAAAGTTTTATATATGGAGCAGATGGATTTAAATACACTCTTCTTACATGGAGATCTAGAAGATGAATTATATATGGTGCAACTATAGGGGTATATTGTTCAAGAAGATTTGATTTACAGGTGAAAGAAGAGTTTTGATGACTTGAAGTAGATTTTGAGATATTTGTGCATAATGTTTGACAAGTTCCTGTTAGACAGTGGGTACATAAAGTGTTAGACAAACCATTGTTGTTTCACCAAATTTTTTTATTATTTTTTAATCTTATTTTATATGTGGATGTCATGCTGATTACAAGAGTATATATGAAGAAAATAAGTGATTTGAAGGAGCAATTATATAGAGAATTTGAGATGAAAGATTTAAATCCAATAAAAAAATCTTCAAGATGAGAATTAGCAGGGACATGAGTGCAAACAGACTAAAGTTGTCTCAAATAGAGAATGTTGAGAAGATCCTACAAAAGTTCAACATGAGTGAGACAAAATCAGTTTATACCCCTTCAACCTATCTAAAGAACCATCGTCTAAGTCTGAAAGTAGAGCAATCACAGATGGAGAGAACACTGTATGTTTCATCAGTTGGAGGTTTGTACACTATGATATGTATTAGATATGTTATTGCACATGTAGTGTGAGTGGTCAACAAGTACATAGGTAATCCTAGAAAACAAACGAACAATCAACATGACACTTTACTTTAGAAAGTACAACGATTGATCTACACGGATATGCAGATTCAATTTGGCAGGTGATATTGATAGTAGAAGTAAAATATGGCATATCTTAATTTTGGGGAGCACAAAAATGAGTTGGGTTTCTAGGCTGCAGAAATTTGTTACACTTTAAACTATGAAAATCAAATGCATTGCTATCATTGAGACTAAAATGGAAATAATTTGACTGCAGAGCTTTATGTTAGAACTGAGCAAAGTGCAGGTGATTGAAAAGCTTTATAGCGACAATATGAGTGTCATTCATCTGGCTATGGATGCTACTTTTCATGTCAAAACAAAACAAATTCAGTTGATGTGTCACTTATTTGTTCTCTTCTAAAAGGTGAACAATTATTCTTGTAGAAGATGCACATAAGTCTGAATCCTGCAAATATATTGACTAATTTAATGACAACTGAGAAACTGAAGCTATGCTTGGCTTTAGTGAGACTCCAGGAAGGTTTAGACCAAAGGCGAGCCACACTATGACACGGGACTATGAAGATGGTACATATGTGGAGGTGCAGGATTGGGTGCTATCATTCTCCAAGTGGGAGATTGTTAGTGTTGTAGAGCCTGATACACAATAACATCACATAGGAACCAGTGCCCCTAATGGTGGGTGCCCCAACATCTTAAAGTGGCACCTAGGCGCGAGGTTGGGTGCTCAGTGCAAGTGGCCCGCACCAATTTTGGGTGCCCCCGCACCTTGGCCCAAAGCGGGTGACACCCTAACATTCATTTAGAGTGCAACAACGCACAATTTCATGACTTCTACTCGAGTGAGCAGAAAGGTAGCGTCCGAGAGCGACAATTTATCGTCGGGAGCAAATTTATATGTAGTTTGGGATTTATTCTCTTGTTTTACAAAGGATTATACTCTCTTGCGGTGCATTCTTGACAATGCATAACAAGTGCAGAGCGGTGTGTCAAGAGGGTAGATTTCGGTGAGTATTTTCTCTTGTAAGATCAAGAGATGACTGAGCGTGAATTGTTGTAAGTTCCAGTAGTATAGGGAGTACATCTGAGTGATATAATTATGTACTATACTCCTTTCATAGTGATTTTTTTGATGTGTTGTGGCTTTGTAGTTTTTTGTTGTTCTCAGGTTTTTTTCACATTAAATTTTTATGTGTTTTCTCTGAAATTTTTTTTGTTGTGCGCTTCTATTAAATTTATTATTCCAAATCTTTCAAATTGGTGTGTTTTTCAACAGTGATTTTTCTTGTGAATCGTTCAAATCCCAAATTTCCATCCTAGCAGATTGCATGTGTATTAGACTATATAAGTAACACACGTCGCATGCTAATGCACGCTAACTAATTTCATGGAAATTATATTTTTAGGGGCATTACATACATACCACCCAATTTTTTGCTTTTATATATACAACACCTAATCTTTATTTTTTATATTAACCGTCATAGTCTAATACACATGCAATCTATTAGGATGGAAACTTGGGGCATTACATACATTCCAACCAATTTTTATGTATTTACATATACAACACCTAAACTTTAATTTTTATATTAATACCAACCAAATCTTTCATATCACGTCAAAGACACCATTATTTTAACTTTTAAAAGGTGAAATACAACTTTCCATGCATAGATAAGTTGGCAAGTATGTAAAAATTGAAGTTTAGGTGTTAGATATGTAAATACATAGGAATTGAGTAGTATGTATGTAAATCTTCCATATTTTTAATGCAGCGATCATCTTTAAATGTGTTTAATGTAATTGATTTTTTAATACCATTTCTTCAAAGACTATGTCAACATGATCTATATTATTTTCTACATCATGCCATTTGCTAAAGACGCCTAATTGTATATATAATCACTGGAAGTTAATCTATCTTAGCGTGTAGTTCTTCATCAATGACATTTTTTAAATTATATTACTACTATTAAAATAAATTGACATCTGTCAACTCTATAAATAGTTTGGACTTCTTTTTAAACTTATGATTTACTTGTAAATTCAAAAATTGAAACAAAAAAGTTATATTTCTTAGAATTTGCTTAAGTAGTTTGCATGATCAGGGATTCAGGCTTTGGCTGGGCACTAATTGAAAATCTTGTCTGATATAGAATGCTCTTCGGGTAAGTGTTATTGGCTAATTTAAGGTGCTGCTAATCAAACATCATCTTGCTTCTCAAGGATAGTACAATTGTTTCGATTGCCTTTTATGCATAGAGCTCTAACGGGATTTTGATGCAAAATTATTAATAACGGATGTTAGTTTGTAAAATGCTCATGTTATAGGCTATAGCATGCTGCATTTACTTTCAATCTTTCCTTGTGTAATGTGTAATTTTTTTTATGACGTTTTTCATGTTTTCTGTTTATGAGGCAGAGATATCTTTATAAATTACTGCTGTTTTATACCAAGAATTTGTCACTTAGCCTACAAATCCATGTCTAAGGAGCTGTTTAGCTTCCTCTATTAAGAAATTTTTGGTTTTCATTGTCTTCCAAGACGCAACACAGATTAAGATTTTTCGCTCCAAAATAGCTTTCCTTGAAGCATAATGTGTAATTAAGATACCGATAATGTGCTTTTGCAAATAAGAACTTGGAGATTAGCATGTTCATACCAATATCTATGAATATGACATTAAGAGTCTCATTCTTTTGAATGTCCATCCAATATATGGTGAAAAAACTCCATTTCCAACGCTTCTGAAAGTTTACATATTATTATCTATAATGCCTGGAAGGTCATGAATAATCTTCTTTTGTGGGTTGCCTTTACATTTGCATTATTTGGTATTATTAAATGGGGCATTTACATACATCACCACGCAATTCTTATATATTTACATATCTAACACCTAAACTTTCATATTTACACACCTAACACTCAAATCTTTCACATCACATCAAAAACACCACTATCATTAACTTTGTAAAAGTGACATGCACTTTTTCATGCTTAGGTTTTAAATGCCAAAGTGTTATAAATATAAATATAAAACTTTAGGTGTTAGATATGTAAATGCATGAGAATTGTGTGGCATGTATGTAATTTTCCCTTATTAAATGTATACATTTCTTTTCTTTTCAAGTTTCATCATCTCAAAGAAAATGCTGCCAGAACCTAAACTTTTTCTTTGCAAATAAACATTTCCATGTAATTCAATTGGTAGATTAATGAACAGGTTTTCAATATCTCTGCAGCTGAGGCAGTCACAGCTTGTTCTTGGAATGAGCTGGTCCTCAGCAGTGATGTGCCTGTTGTTGTGGAGTTCTGGACTTCATGGTGTGGACCCTGCAAGATGGTGAGCCGTGTCATGAAAGAATTGGCTCACGAATATTCTGGGAGAGTCCGATGCTTTAGGATCGACGCTGATGATTATCCTCAAGTTGCAGCATCTCATGGGGTCGAGCGAATTCCTACTATTTTGGTGTTCAAGAATGCTGAGAAGTTTGAGAGGATTATTGGCACCATGCCTAAATCTGTTTATGTAGCTGCTATTCAGAAATCTTTATCTCAGTAGGAGGAATCAATTATGTTTATAAATATAATTGATCTTGGAAATATACTAAAGTATTGTTTAAAAATTGAATTGATTTTGTTATTTAATCAAATTTAAATGCAAGTGAAATGAGCTGAAATAGATTTGATTTTGGGCCTCCTTTCCACAACACTACATTCATCTGCACTGGAAACTTATGCTGGATCAATGCAGTAGGAATAACAGAGTGCATACTAAAAGACTTCGGGGCATGTGCATATGCACCACAAAATTCTCATGCATTTACATATCTAATGCCTAGAGTTTCATATTTACATTTATAGCATTCAAAAATTTAGCATCACATTAAAAAAATGTTATAAATGTAAATATACAACTGTTAGAGTTTGATATGTAAATACATAAGAATTGTAAGATATGAATGTAAATTTCTTAAAGTTCGAACCATTGGTAGCAACAATAGTATTGTTATCCACACAAGAATATGTTATCACAACTCAACATCATATATTATGTGACAAATAATAACCTACATGGTCCATACCTTATGTAGCTCTTGACTCCGACTTCTATAGTTTACGGACATCATCCCAGCTCACAATTACGACTTACGTAGTCTACAGCTCGTGCAGCTTTCGAGTCCAGCCTCTGCGGCATTCAGACATCATCACAACTCACCACTATGGCCTAGGTGACCAACTATGACTTACGTGGTTCATAGCTCATGAGGCTCCCGACTACTATCCCTGCGGCCTACGAACAACATCACAATTCACTTCTATGTGACCAACAATGCATAACGAGCCATGAAAAAAGCAACAAAAGCATTAAGCTAGCGGGAAAATTTTGCTCTTTCGTTTTGATTTGAAGATGCAAACGCTGCCCATGTAAAGTTTGACCAAGACAAATCCAGTGGACAATCAGCATAGGTACATAATGTCAATACTCAATAGCTTAAATCATTTTACTTTCTGAATTACAGAAATAACAAAGATTTTTTCTCTGTTTCTATGCTCACGAAGAGGGACTAAAATATGCATTTACATTCATTAAACCCAATTCCTATGTATTTTCATATCTTACAACAAAATTTTACATGTTTTATATTCATACCACCTAACTCTTTCATATCACATCAAAATACTCTTTTTTTAAGTTTTTAAAATGTGAAATACACGTTCTCATATACAAGCAAGGCGGCATGTAAGAAAAAACTGGACTTTAGGCGTCAAATATCTAAATAAATAGAAATTGAGGGGTATGTTTAATCGACTCAAATCCAATGCAGGCAAGGCCGCAATTAAAGCTATTAAATCAAATAAGAAATTCAACAGGCAAAGCGAACAGAGAACAAGATAATCTATCAATCAAAGAACTGGCGCATTCTATCAATAAAATTGCAATGTAAAGCATGTTCTAAGAGTGGATTTACATGAGGATAGTTTAAAAAACTGTTAGACAAACACGTAATAGTTCATCCATTTCCACCATTTTCACTTTTAAAAAAGCGAAATACATTTGCTCCTGAATGGGGAAGGTGGGTATGTATGTAAATCTTAATCCCTAGTTCTGTCATAACAAATATTGTAGCGCACCATAATATATATAATTAGCCTTGGCAGAACAGTGCTCTGCGAGTGGGTGTGTTTTAGGTCATACTTTATAGCTTCAACTCTATTTGGAACCTAAGATCATTTGTCTTCAGTGCCTTGTTGGTTTGGATTTGCTTTTTTGGCTTTTTTTTGGCATTTTTGCCCCACGGCCTTCCTTAACAGAAGAGAGGGATATCCATAAAAAATTTTTCCGATATTTTATGGGATATGATATGATCTCTGGACCAACACATGTTCAAGTTTTGTGTGCGCTCTTGAGAGAAAGCCTCTTCCACAAGAGGAAATATTATGTGTTGATTTGTGGTATTGTGATGGTTTTATGATGAATACGATCACAATACCATCAAATCCACACTCATTTAATATTTCTTCCTTCCACAACCAATTCCCACTGGGAGAGTCCCCCGCCAATAGCCCTTCCCCATTTATTTGTAGTATGTGAAGATTTTGATAGCCGACAAATGATTATTTTACAAGTTTTCTCTTTTCTTTTTGAAAGATTTTTAATTTTTAATTTTATTTTCTATTTCTATAGTTATATTTATTTTACATCATAGTATTAGAACTACATGGGCAGATGCATGGTCTGCAGTGTGCATCTAATGATACATGACACGATACCGATATTTTGATCTGAATTGTGCTACTCAAATAACTAGGCCAACATCTAAGAAGTTCTAATAGACCTTTAATCCGTGCTCATATCAGTCCCTCAAATACAAACTCGCACGTCACACGAATACATAGAGAATAATAAATACTAACTAACCATCATGAAGGGGCCAACAAATAGGGCAGCATAAACTTCCCAAAACTAGTCAAATGAGATATGTTTAGACTTTTCCTTATTTGGATCCCAATCTGACAGATCATTAACTATGAACACCAACCTCTTAAAACTAGCAAATTAAGTAGGAACAGTAGGCTTGTAGATGAGGGCAATTCTATCTTTGATCTCTCCTGTAAACTTTGACACCCTCGTGGCTATCCCTAAACTTGGATGTCATGAAAGAAGATCTTCTCTCTTCCTCAAGAAACATGATCCATGCACATCTTTCCCTCCTTTTTTCCATACAAAAATATCGGGACTTCTGTAGGTGGGGCTCATCTACTCTCCTTTCTCACTTGTTTCACCTTAAGGTGTGCGCACAAATCAAGTTGGATTCAACAATACAATTCTTATTTATTTGAAGCTCAATCAAGATGATGGATATGACAAATTTGAAAAACCGATGTTGATAGAGCCAATCCTTATTTGAAGGATAAACAATTTGCTCAAATTTGACTTGATCATTAATCACTGTGATCAATTCAGCGGCTCATATCACATATAACATTACTAGTTGATTAAGAAAATTATAAACCTTTAACAATTTTTAATCCTCACCAAATTTATTTTGGGTAAATTGGTTACATATTTTGAAATTAAAAATGATATAGTCAATTTTTATATATGTAAACCAAATGCATTAATTATAACATATTCCATAGAAATATAGTGTGTTTAATTGACATTCACAAGTTCTTATAGATTCTTTTTCATAGATGATTTGATTTATGGTCTATGTATAGTGTTATTTAGTAGAAAAAAAGATAATTTTTAATGGACATAGTTAATAGACATCCACAAGTTCTTCAAGAAAATCATTTAATGTGAAGTAGATAGAATTACCTAATTAAATATTTAAAATTAATATTTTTTAATTTTCTTATTATTTTAAAAAAAATTATTTATAACTTCTAATTATTTTTTATAAATGGACATATTTTAGCCGTGTCTGACGAATATTAGATGTGTCTGTACCTGACAAATGTCGACACATGTCAGGCACTATAAGATGCTTCAACCCAATGTGTGCAGAGTTTTAAGCCTAAACTAATGTTCTACCTTAGACAAGAATACATGAACATACTAAGAAAATGGTTAATTGTATGTAGAAACATACTTCTAAGAAGAAAAAATAGACTCATAGGGTTGTCTTATGCCTCAATTTTAGATTAGATTTTGAAAATATTTTATTTTGGAGAAGATTTAAAAGCGATGGCATGTACTTCATTAGAATGCAAGTGTTCTTCACCTAAAATTAGGTATTTATCACTGTCAAATGAGTATGAATAACCATTAGAAGAAGCCTGATCCATAACTATTAGAATTAACTCTTAATATAAGCATGTGGCTGGTTTTTTTTTCTAAGGCTAAATATTCAGAATGGTAGATGACTGAAATAGTAGTGAAAGAACATTTATGATGTAAATTTGAGTGTTAGTGACTTCTTAATTAGGCCAGACAACTAAATAGCAAGATATCAATTTTGGATCATGATTGAAGCCAACATGTCTCAGAAAGTATCTACTGTTTTATATCTCTTTCAAAAATTTGACTTGAATTTTTAAACAAACATGAAAAGATTTTATGAAGGTCCCCCAATCAATTACATGAACTTGTGTTTGCAGCTTGGAGTTCATTCACCCTGAATTCCTGTTATTTTTTATATTGGAAAGTGTATTATAATTTCTCATCCAAAAGCAAGTATATCTTTATAGTGATTGTCTTCTAAGTTATTGATTATAGAAGACTATCAATAACTATCATTTAAAGATCATTATTGCATGTGCTGACATCGAAGTTTACAATATTAAAATGTCAAAAATGATATGTTGTCAACAAAATTTATCATTTAGCATGAATCTCAAAATGATTAGCAGGAACCTTAGAGTATTTTTTTGACAAGAAACATTAGAACTATAATTAAAGATCTTCTAGAACTATGATTTTAACAATAGGCCGACTTGATTAGACAAACATAATGAAAATAAAATTATTTCAATCCCACTCAAATCAAGCCCATATTGAGCTATTAAGCAAATTTTGGAAGCTTCAAGTGCCTAATTAAAGTGTCGGACATATTCCAAATTTAACAAGCTTATAGTCTAATTGAGCATCTCGACAAGAAGAATCCAATAAACCTGAGGTCACTTAAATTTGACATTATTGAGACATTCAAATATCTATTAAACACCATTCGATTGAGAGAACCTCTACGCCGTCCAATGAAGTGATCCAGATTCCTTTCTTCTGTTCAAGGAGGCATCTCTTGGACCTTTAAATAAGACCCTACCCCCTTCATGAAAGGGGGCCTTGACCGTGAATTGAAGGGAGTCTGAAGCTTGGCGGTGAAGGAGTTGAGGTTCAATGTTCTACACTGAAGGTCTGATGAGCACCGCCTACTGTTGCAATTGTCAAATACCATCGACTATCAATTGTTGCCACCCCATCCCCATACTCATTGCAACGAAGCCCCTTATGGAGTCACGACATATGCTACGAAGTAACGAAGCATCGTGGAGAGTAACTACCAGCTTTACATAGTAACAAAACATCATACGAAGCAACACATCCTAAATACGGTGCAACAACGAACCACAAAAACGTTGTAACAACACCCCAAAAATTGTGTAACCCAACATGCAATATAACACACCGAAGATGGTGTAACGTCGCACCTCAAATATGA